AAAATTCACACCTGTTTCATAGATGTTCACCTGTTTAACAGACTGAGTTTCAAAGGAGAGGAACTTTTTGCCTATTAACGAAAGTATAACTTGTTTTTTCACAGGAATTCCTACTATGACATTTGCTGTTTACGGGCTGTCAAATGAAAACACTGCCCAGTGAATCTAAAGGGGGAAAAGAAGGGGAAAAAAAAAAAAGGGATAAAAGAATTATTTGGATTAAAATATCTTTTCTTAACCTTGTGGAAGAGGAGCTTTTCTGACTTGGCAGCACAGCACAATGAGAATGAAATCAATGCCAAGTGTCTTATCCTGAACTCTGAATGGGCAAAGTTCCCATTGACTTTCAAGATTCCTTCCCCTGCAAATGGCACTCAAGAACAGTTACATGCACCTGAGGCACGTCCACCCCTGTGTTCTGTCTCTCCCCTTTGTGTCAAGTAGATGTATAGAATTTCTGAAATCAGCACAGCAAGCTGTGAATGATGCATGAAATGAATAAGCTGAGTCTAGTACAAAGGGGAAATCCTGAAGGCTCAGTGCAATCACTGCTCTACTATTTCCTATGGCCTGCATAGAAAAGATGCATAATATTCTTCCCAGAGACAAAGAAAAAAAAAAAAAAAGCTCCCCGAGGCCAGAAGTCTCAATCAGAAGCCCCAGAAGAGATAAATGGCAGAGGGTTCACAAGTTTTTGAAAATTGCTTAATTTCCCTCTCAGCCCTGAGCCCTTCCTGCTCCGGCTCTGGGGCTGAGCACGTGGAGCACACCCAGAGCAGCTCGGGCCTGCCATGGTTTGGATTCAGCCTGGCCCCGGCAGGGGGGTGTGATTCACACCTCACCCCATCAGCAGAGGTGAGTTTGTGCCAATCCACCAGCACGGGATGGCCAAAGCACGGGCAGGAGGATCTGCTACGAACCACCCCCCCCCACCCCACCCCTCAATTCTCTTGCTATCTCCCCTGCTGCACTGAGTAGGTATAGATATTTTAGAAACTGAGGTATAAAGTGGATAAAGGCCTTCAGAGGATGTCTTTGAAAGAAACAGATCTAAAATCCTATTTACTTGACTAGCAACACAAAGCAACTGGCTGTGAATGGTGTTCACAGCAAAGAATAATTAATTCCTCATCCCGAGGACGTTTCTGGTGAAATAAAGCCACTGTGTTGCAATTATTGCTGCATCCAGTGGCATCAGTGAAAAGTTGTGATGAAGAAGCACGTGGAAACTGTCCTGGAAAACTTAATCTGCATCAAGCACTAAATTACTCCATGCAAACAGATCTGCAATGACAGCTCTCCACACCATCCCTGGGAAATCCTAAAAGAGATCGATTCAAAGTTCATCTCTTTATCATTTCAATGTTTTGTCAGAATTTACTGCTAAAATTTACCATAGAAATCATCTGAAGCAGCAGCACGTGAATTAACTAGACATGACTACAACAAACCTAGGATGAAGGTCTGTATAAGTAGAAAAGAAGTCATAATCAAGCTTCTCACTTCTGCAGGCACAGAGAACAGCAGCAACATTCCAGTCCTGAGCATCACCCAACTTCAGCTCTTCAGCTGTATTCCTTCTGAAGAAATCACTCTTTCTATTAACACTAGAAGATAAGTTAGATAAGTTCCTACTTTCCAGTGTTCCTGAAAAGTATCTTTCTTAGTCTCATACTTGACGTGGGAAAGCACTGATTTATAAACAAAGTGTTTATGCTAATGGTTTTCCTGAATTTAGTCTTCCAGCTCTTCTTATAGCAAAAAAATGTTAGAAATTCAGAAACGTGGTTAAAAAAAAATATTCTTAAAATACCCACAATCAGATTCCTCTGCAACTTATTAGACTTTACTCCCCAGCCAGACTGCCTCAAAAATTTAAAATCTTTTCACTCACCAGTTTTTGTTGCAATAAATTAACTCTGCAGCTCTTTGGCATAGGAAGGAACCGTTGATAACTTCACCTGGTCTCCCTGTGGATGTTAATGGCTCCATTCTGATCCCTCCCACACAAGCAGGAGTAGGAAATCCCACAGGGGCATTGCTCAAAAGGCATTCGGATTTAAATGCAGGCAAAAGGGATGTCCAGGGCCAGATAACCTGAAAATTTAAAAACTGAGCTCAGTTCCCTTCCTTAATTCTAAAGGGAATCTATTGCTGCGTTTGGCTGTGAGGGAAATTTCCTGAGTCCAATCAAAGGATGAAACAGTGCTCTTTGAAAAGAAAAAAGAAAAAAAAAGTTGTCTTTCAGGCAGTGTCTCCCTCTATGCTGTTGGCTCTCTGATGAAAATACGCTCATGTTCAGGGAGAAGAGGCTGTATCTGTATTTGTACTTGAAGTACAATGCTGGATTCTATTCTTTTTGCCCTCCAATGCACCTGTCCCACCTCCAGCGTGTGTGTCAGCTAACAACCCTTTCCAAAACTTCTGACCACAACTTGTGAACTTCGGGATAAAGTTTAGCCCCAGAAAGCTGAAAACTGCACTAAGGATTTTACCTGGACGACTCAAAACCAGCAGTTCAGGAAATGCATTCCCAAGCCAAACCACTGACAGGAGCTTCCAGAGAGAACAAGGTAGTTTATACAGAGGAACAGTCCCTCAGGGACTGGCTCACACACTGTCCCCTTAGGCCCTGATTTAGGGCAAACAAGGATAACTGAACTTATAAATACTGCAAACTTTCGAAGAGTAGCGTTTCTCCCCTTTCATGGTGGAGAATGCATTTGCAGAAAGCTCACACGTAAGGAACAGTAACTTATAAAGATGCAGCTGCAGCACAGCTCTGAAGGTATCAGTCACAGTTCCAGTGCTGGCACCTTCTCACCTGCTCAGGTGCCCTCACTATAGTCAGACCAGCCTGCACATCTGTCTGGGAAGGCTGAGGGAAACTCGTTTCAGGGAACAGGATCTTCACACTTCCCTGCTCGGAGCTCCCCTGGCACTGCCAGTTCAGGAGAGCACCAGGGAACAGTTCGACTCCCAGATGAGATGAAATAGGACCTTGTGCTGCCCTGCCTGGCTGTCTGCATTGCCTTACCAACACCACTCTGAGACCTCCAGGTTATGGGGCTGCTTCTCCTCACAGAGCTGTTGAGTCATGTTACTAACTACTAACAGAGCTCTATTAAAAATCCTGCTCCTACCTGAAGGGCAGCAGCGCAAGGAGAAAGCAGTACCCAGGTTTGCCGGATTTCACCCGAAATGTTATGGAAGGAGTTGAGCTGGGGGTGTGAAACACGCTGGGTTCTGCTTTGCAAAGTGATTCCCCTCAGCCCTTGCCGGGGGATGCGAGGGGGGCCATGGCCTCACCCCACGACCCCGGGGGTGCTCTGTGCAGGGGCAGCGTGAGCAGCCCGGGGTCTCCCCCCGGTTTGGGACCTGCAGCATCTGCTCCCGGTACTCCCTTTTCCCCGGGGGGCCAGGAGCCAGGTACCCCATCAGGGAAGGAGACTCTCGGCGTGGTTTGCATAACGCTCTCGCCTATTGTAAGAACCCGAAGAAAGCCCCGGTCGAGCCTGGTGCGTCCCGGAGGAGAAGGCGGGAACCGGTGCCGGAGCATCCCCGCAGCAGGACCGGGAGGCAGCGCGGGGCCCCGGCCGGGAGGGAAGCAGCTGGGAAGGGAACGCAGATCCCACCGCCCCCGGCATGTCTCGGGCAGCCGAGGGGCTCAAAGTCCCCCCGAAACCGCTGTTTGTTCAGAGCAGGCCCCTGTAACCAAACCCAGCGCCACCAGCGCCCTCCCGTTCCTTTTCCTCTTGTACCGAGGCAAAGAGTGGAGGGTCAGCGGGAGCGGGCGGGATGCGCTGCGGGATCCCGGCCCCTCTGGATTCTGAGAAGTCACCGGGTGTGGCGAGCTCAGACCCGGTCCGGGGCCCTCCCGAGGAGCTGAGTACACGCGTGGGGCCCTGCCGGGACGCGGCTTGGCCCCCAGAGCAGAGGGAGCGCGAAGGGATGCTCAGCTCCGCCGGCAGCCCCGGGGCCCCGCGGATCCCTTGAAAAAAAGAGGGAGGGGGGTCGGGGGAAAAAAAGTTGTCCAGACTAAAGGCACTCCTCAAACATATTGAAAAGATTCAATTATTTATTTCCTGTGGGGATTCCTGTAACCATTCATTTTTAATGGAGTCTAATTAAGAGTTCCCCAACGGGTTTTACTATTGTAAATATTTCAGATGAGCTCGGGTTTCCAGGCAAATCCTCCACACACACACACACACAGAAAAAACAAAAACAAAACAAAAAAAACCACCCACAAGAAAAATCACCAAACAAACAGAGAAAAAAACCCAAAACAATAATTAAAAAAAAAATAATACAAAAAACGAAGCGGAGACGTAATCCCTCTCCCTCCCGGTCGACCTAGAGAAACCAGCCGGGCGGAGAGGCAACAAGTGGCCGCGCCTCGCAGAGCGGCATCTTGGGCAGTCCCACAAACTCCACGGATCGCACTCTGCCCTCTCCCACCCTCCAAACTATAAAGCACGGCTCGGCGGCCGCAGGAACCGAGCCGAAAAGCGCCGGCAGCTCCTGGAGCTGGCGGTGGGAGCGCGGCTGGTGCGGGGAGCCCCGGGAAGGAGCCCCGGGAAGGAGCCCCGCACAGCCCCGCTCGGCGCTCCCGCAGCCGCGGGGGGATCGCCTGCACAAACCGCGCCGAGACCGCCGACGTGCCTGATATAAAATTTATTGATCTCTCTTCGTTGGGGAGAAGGAAGCAAAACGAGGACTAGGAACAGGGAAGGGGGATTTCGACGACTTGTTTTCTTGGAAGGAATCCGGTAACAAAACTAAAACGTTTCTTCATCCGATATGTCAAAACATGGTTCACAGTAAAATTCACAAACCGATTTACATAAGTTTACAATTTAAGAAAAACCAAGACACAGAACTTACTATAAATAAAAGAAATGCGTTTGCGACCCGCACAGCTCTGCTCTCTCCCACCTCCCATCTTTTTTTTTTTTCTTTTTTTTTTTTTTTTTTTAGGAATAAAACCCTAATTTTAAAAAGTCATGAAAGCTACAGATTGTGAATAGAAACCAAGCGAGGGTCGGTGACAAAACACTTAATAAAACCACAACGATTATGTGAACAATCGAGTTTAAAAACAAAAGCCCGCGGTTTTTGTTTTTTTTATGTCATTGCAAAGTTAGAAATCAAACTGGAAGATGCAAAACTTTTAAAAACTTTCAAGCGAATAAAACAGTGCCCAACCTAGCCGAAACCAGGAATGAAGTTGCCGTGGTTTGAAAACTTCACAGCGACTTTTAGGAGGCAGGAGTTGTGCTCTATCAAAATAACAGCTTGCTCAAATATTATTTCCTGTACAAAAAAAAAAAAAAAAAAAAAAAAAAAAAAAAAAAAAAAAAAAAAAAAAAAAAAAAAAAAAAAAAAAAAAAAAAAGGACACAACTAACGGATTTCCTTTTAAAATTTCTCCAAAGTTAGTATTAAGTCTGCTAAGCCGAGCAACACTGCCGTACGTCCCGGTGGAGTCAGGGAGCGGTGGTGGGGTTAGGGATTAAGACGGGGAGCCGTCCGGAGCAGTCAAGTTTTTATATGTGAGTTAGTGGTACGGTACCATTCACGCCAGTCCCGGCACTCTGGTAGTGCTGATGGACGCTGTGTAACCTGCTGCCCTGCAGGGCGGAAGGGTCTGTGGCATCCCCCCCGGGGGGCAGGTACATGCTGATCATATCCCGCAGGTCTCCCAGGCAGGCCCTCTGCGAGTGGGAAGTGATGGCCGGAGGCGGCGAGCTGGGCTCGGATTTCACCACGGAGCCCATGGAGCCCAGGCTCATGGCCGAGGAGGGCTGCTGGCCGTAGGCGGCGGGGGACATGCTGTAGGTGGAGGCGGCGTTCATGTAGGTCTGGGCCGTGGACATCATGGGGCTGTACTGCAGGCCCGTCATGTCGTAGCGGTGCATCTGCTGCAGCTGCGGGCTGTTCATGCCCGGGTGCTGGCTGTAGCCCAGCTGGTCTTGCATCAGTGAGTAAGCTCCGTTGGTCCAGCCGTTCATGTGGGCATAAGTGTCAATCCTCTGCCCCACCCCGACGGGGCTGCTCACCGCGTTGCCCCCCCCCGGGGCCAGCAGGTTGCCAGGCAGCGAGTACTTGTCCTTCTTCAGCAAGGTCTTGGTCTTCCTCCGGGGCCGGTATTTGTAATCCGGATACTCCTTCATGTGCACGGCCCGCAGCCGCTTGGCCTCGTCGATGAAGGGCCGCTTCTCGGCGTCGCTCAGCAGCTTCCAGTCGGCGCCGAGCCGCTTGCTGATCTCCGAGTTGTGCATCTTGGGGTTCTCCTGGGCCATCTTCCGCCGCTGCCCGCGGGACCACACCATGAAGGCGTTCATGGGGCGCTTCACCCGGTCCTGGTCCGAGCCCGCTCCGGCTCCGTTGCCTCCTCCGCCTCCTCCACCGCCTTTGCCGTTGCTCCCCGGAGCGGGGTTGCCCCCGGTGCTGCCCGGCGTGGGCTGCGGCGCCTTGATCTCCGTCTCCAGCATGCTGTACATGGCCGGGGCCGGCAAAAGGTGCGCCAGGGCGGCGGGCAGGCGGGCACCGAGCGGGGAGAGGAAGTTAGGGGAAAAAAAAAAAAAAAAAAACAAACCAACAAAACAAAACCAAACAGAAAGAAAAAAAAAAAGACCTGCCTGGGCGGCTGCTGCGGGAGGAGCAGGAAGTTTTTTCTGCCTGGCAGAGGCGCCGCTCCCCGAGGTGCCGGTGGTGGTGCGGCGGCAGCGCGGAGCGGCTCCCGCGGGCAGCGCCGGGCGATGCGCTCACGGATCCCGGGGGTCCGTGATTGACGGGCTATAAATGAGGGGGCGGCGGCCAATCAGAGAGCTGTTCCCGACAGCCCCACGCCGGGAACTGACCGGCCGGGAGGGGGGTGGGGGGATCCCGGGCTCGGGGATGCCGGGGATGCGGGTGCCGGGCCCCTCCCGCCGCAGCCCCCGGGCCCTGCACCTGCCCCCGGCTCTGAGCGACGGGACGGGGCAGAGGGGCCGGTGGGGCTCCCGCAGCTGCGGGCAGCGCCTCGGGGGAAGGAGCGGGACCGGGGCTGCCCCGCGGGAGGAGGAGCGGGGCGGAGCGCTGCGCTGCAAGCGGGAGCCGCGCGTTCGCCGGGCACAAAGAGGTTCGGGGCTCCTGGTGGATGCACAGCCCTGTGCCAAGCCCGGGGAAGCTGCCTGGAGACGGAGCGAGCCCGCGCTGCACGAACGTCCCCCCCGGAGCGGGTGAAGGGGCGGGGGGACGGACGAGCTAAACTCTTCCACTTCTGAGCCCTCGCCTGAGATAGAAGCCGCGTTGCCCTGCCGGGACCGGGCACGGCCGCCGAGCACTCCGCCCCGGTGGGAGAGGGGCAGCCCCGATGCATGGCGAGAGGGGCCAGGCTCTCCCGGCCATCCCCACCTACACCCACCCCTTTGCCACCGGAGCTTTTCCACTCGGCTGCCCTAAAGAAGGGGGGGGGGGAAGTGGGTGGAGGGGACGGCGCTTGCAAATCCCCCAAGTTTCATGGCAACAGAAAGTTCTCTCCGTGTGAAAGAAAACTTCGGCGGCGGATATGCGAGTGGAGCGGCGCCCACTGGAGCTGTCAATCACGGGCTTCCCTGTCCGTCCCTCCCCTCCCTTTACCTCTCCCTCCCTTCCTTGCCCAGAGGCAGGGACAGGCGCACCTGCACGGATGGAGCCGGCAGCTCCTCGAGAGTACAGAGGATGCGGCCGCCTCGCCCCGCCACGGGGGACGGGGAAAGGGTCTGTGGTCTTGAGATCGGGACGTGTCTGGGCATCACGTCCCGTCCTGGGCGACCCGGATTGGAGAGATGCTGCCCGGACTGCAGGGATGCTGCCGGAACAGCTTCCCGAGTTGGGCAGGCATTGGTGTAGCCCCAAAGAGAAGATCGCGATAGGGGGGGACACCTCCAGGGCAGGGCTCCCGGCTGGACCCGGAGGCACAGCCCAAGCTGGTGCCGCCAGCCCCGAGCCCGCTGCTCTGGGGGCGCCGGGGAGGGGGCTCCGGGCCGGGGGTGCTCGGCAAGGGAACCGATCTCCGAGCTGTGCATCTTGGGGGGCTGCTCCCCGCGGGCCGGGGAACCTGACGAGCATCGGAGGTACCCTGGAAACACCACCGTGTCGTGGAGAGGGGTTTGCTTGAGCAGACCTAAGCACGATTGGGACTTAGCGGTTGAAGGTCTCACTCGTTTTGCACGGATTTCTTTTTTGGCAAAATCGTCCCACTTGCGACCGGCTATGGTGTAATCAGCGTTTTGTCTTTCTTGTTTGGTTTGCTGCTGGTGTATTCTCGAGTGAAGTAAGTCAAAATTTGGCAAACCGAGGGGACGGGGTGACAGCGAAAGGGTTGTTCTAGGAGGGAGTAGTTCGCTTGTAACTTTTGCAACATGCTGGAAAAGCTTCAGGCAATTGTAACTAATCTCGAACCCCTCCAAATATTTTGACCCCTTCATTCGAGGTTTAAGACCCGCCAGGCTGGGCAGGAAAGAGGACTGATGTATATCCTGACAGCTATTTGATATTATTTTCTATGAACCTTCGTTGGAGGGATTAAATAGACTGGCGTGCAAGAAAAAATGTGGCTGTAACAAGGGAATTAGAGGACCTGCCGAAAGCCTCTTGAATGCTGTTTCTTTCTATGTTTAAATAAATATTTAAGTTTCAGACTCCTACTTTGTGTTTCGTGTTTGCTCTGCCTGAATCTCAAAAGTATAGGTTTTTCAACAAGGACCAAGCTATTTAAGGTTTTCGACATCCATATTTCAAAGCCAGGCAACATTTCTCTTGAATCATTACTAGTCTCCTTGCAGATGAACTGAACCTGACTGAATAAAAATGTAAGTATTTAAGTGGTGGATTTCCACACTTCACAGGTCCCTGTAATGCTCCCGCTGCGCTTGGCTTCCCCCGCCGCTCATGTTCTGAGGAATACTCCAAAATCTGGCTGATTCCTAGTTCCAGAAGAAGGGATGAGCAGGGACCCGCTGCTCGAATCCCTCGGGGTTAGCGATGCGTGCGCGGAGGAAACTCTCGGGGGGATTTCTTGAGCGATTTCGGACCCGAGAGGAGAGTCAGCAGCCAGCTTCTCTCCGGGCTCTACTTCGGAGCCATCTTATCCCCTCCCGGGCACGGCGCTGCCCGGGGCTGTCGCCGCTCGCAGGTCCCCACCAGCGGCACAGACGGGGCGGCTCCGTCCCCGCTCTGCTCGGCGGCACCGCTGTCGCCCTGGGGAACGAGGAGCTCCTTCTCCTTGCCCTTAAAACCCCAGCTTGCCAGCGAGGCGAGCCCTGCTGTGCCAACCGCTGAGTTGGCACAGTTACCTGCAAAGCGCTTTAGAAGATCCCACCCTCCCCTTGGCAGCGAACTCCAGCCCTCACCTGCTCCCCGGGCAAGGGGACGGAGCCTGCGGAGCTGTCGGGACGTGAGGAAGGGGCAGAAGGCAGGACAGGACTCGGCTCAATAAGCGGGGAGAGGAGAAACCTGATGCCTGGAGCCATTTTCCTAAATTCACTACTCGGCAGACCCCAGGACTCAGAGAGCCCCATGTGCCTGGTGGGGGTTGGAGAACACTCGAGGCTGTGTAAATGCAGTTGTCAAGGGCTGAGAAGCCCTCTTCTTGTTATTATTTATTTATTTGGGTTACCAGGGAGGGTGAAGAGAGATGAGGAGTTTACAGGACAATCCAACTTGAACGCTCGAAAAGGGCCATTCGGAAGGGTCCGTCTGCTTTTTACTCAGTCAGCGCTTAAAAAGCAGCAGCCATTAACAGATGTTAATTGCAGCTCCAGAAGAGCTTGGGGGAGTTTTGGTACAGCGTCAGGGAGGATCGCTGGCTTTTAAAGAATAACGCTCTGCACGAAATCGGCCCCGTTTAACCCCGTTATTAAAACATCCCCCTGGTCCCCAGCCTAATTGAGGAGCAAGATCAGCGAGGACTTGTCCTCGAAACTTGCCCAGACAAGGGAGCTGGGTGCCCCTTTCGTTTGGACCCTGCTGACCCTCGCTAGGATGATCCTCCGAAAATGCCCAGCCTTCTAGCGATGCTCAAGATAAAAGTTCGCGTGGTCCCCATTTCAGGCTCGAATGGTGTGGTAATGTGGCTGCTAAATGGATCATTTCAGGCTGGTTCTACAGCCCAAGGTCGTTAGGATTTTTTTTTTTTTTTTAATTCCCCGTTTAACTGTCAAGTGAAAAAAAACCAACCCATCTCGAGATTTCCTGCGAGGCTCCTGCCTCCCTCTCTGCGGGGCTGACATGGCTGGACCGACCTCCCAGCCCGACGAGAGGGAGAACAAATCATTAGTTCCGACAAACGAGCTCCAGCTCCTTTCTGTGACTTCTCCAGTACCTCGCCTCACGGATATCGCAGCTGCTCTAGCGCCTACAGTTGTCCCTGCTGCTCACGGGTCCGGGAGAGCAGGAGTTACTTGTGATGACATCATTAAAAATAGCAACATTTAAGAACAAAAATCTTAAGTGAGTGGGTAAACCCGGCCAATGTCTTTTGGGTACAGAGCGATCCCTTTGAACTGAGCCTCCCAGTGCGTTCAGGAGACAGCGGTGAATGTTGTTTTTAATCACTTCTCCCCCCCTCCCCTTCCCCAGCTGAACTTTTATTTGGCTTCTGACAACAATAGCGGGCTGCAAACAGACCTCTCGGAGCGCCCGCTGAATAGACCCTTTTCGAGCCCGGATTGTTTCCACCGACACAAAAAAACCGACCAGTAGCTCCGTTTCTTAATTGGGTTGTTCCTGGCCCTCGTTCATTCAGGTGTTCGCGAGGAATTTGTTTATTAGTCTTTGACAAACAGCTCCTCCTGGCAATCGCCTCATGGAGTTGGCTTCAGCGGGAGCGGAGGGATGCGGGGCGGGGGGTGCGGTTTGCTAATAAGGACTCTCTCCATCTCCAAGTTACCAATTAAGAGCTGTAGAGGGGACCACCAGCACAGGACGACTCACCAGGGCTCGCTGCGGAGCCCCAAGGAAACGACAGATTTAGTTCGTGTGTTTTCAGGCAAAAACACCCAGTAAAAAATGAGTACGAAAAGTGATGCTAAAGAGACCACCACCGCTGCTGCAGGGCAACCTGCGCCAAGCCTGGCAGGAATCTCTTTCCCAATGCACGAGACAGTAACAGGAACTTTCTGCAACTTCCCTCTGCTGTTACAATCCCAACCGTACAGAATCCCCGAAAGGAGTTATCCAGCCCTGGCACAGGCTGCCCGGGTTAGTGGTGGAGTCCCCACCCCCGGCGGGGCTTCAAAGCCCTGTAGATGTGGCACTCGGGGATGTTGGTTTAGTGGCGAGCTTGGCACTGCCAGGTTTACTCGATGATCCTAAGAGTCTTTTCCAACCTGAACGATTCTGTCATTCTACCGCCTCATCTCCGGCTCGGTTTGCTCTCCCCGTTGCTGCGGAGCGCAGGACACCGCACCGGGCGATCCCTCGAGCCCCCGGGGGTGAAGGACAGTCCCGCACTCGGGGTGGGGTGGCACCGGGGTGGCACCAGCGCCCCGAGCCGGGGGGACGATGCAGGAGAGCCCCAAGTGCTGCGGGCACCGCCTGCGCTCCCCCCGAGCATCCTGGGGGGCTCCGGGCGATGCAATCCCTTCCCCAGGGCCGGGAATGTGCCCGCCCCCCTCCCTGTACTTGTTGCTTTGTGTTAGCTGAGACTCCGCCGCTCTCCTTCTTAAATAAATAATAATAATAATAAAAAAAAACCCCAAACCAAAAAGCCCACCAACTCAGAGCATCTCTG